TTCTAACACGCACGTGTTTACAAATGATACATATATTATCGAATAGGAAAGACAAAAATATTATTTATATATACAAGATTGTATGTATATATATATATGTGTCACTACTATTCCTGACTCAGAAGGAATAGGCCAAAGACGAATGATACAGATGTAAATGTATGTAACAATCACGCATAAATAATGAATGTATTTATTATCAAAAAAAAACAAAAGGTATTTATTTTAATAGAACATATTATTTGTAAAAAAAGATATTTTTTTCCATAATATTTAATATACAAAAATAAACTTTATAATAGATTGATACATTTCATTTTACATTCACAAACTTTAAATGACTTCTGATCCGTCTCGATGCAATAAACAAGAAGAAGAAGAAAGAATTCCATCACAACAAATTCAATTTTCTATATGGAATACATTTAAACATCATATTCCACGTTTTCTTCTTACTATACTTGTTGATATTATTCTCCCACTTGTTATCTATTTTGGTCTTCAAAAACGTATTAAACCTGTTTATTCTCTATTAGTCGCTGGTACACCACCACTTGTTATGGTTATTATTAAAGGTATTCTATCGCGAACATTTGATGCACTTGGTTTTCTTGTTTTTATTGCTTTTCTTCTTTCGGCTATTGTTGCCATTATTACACATAATCCAATTATACTTCTATTAGAAAAATCAGTTATTACTGGAATTTTATCAATTATTTTTGGTTTAACATTAATACCATTGCAATGTTGTCATCAACGTTTTCATGTACGTCCACTTGCTTATTATTTTTATCAAGATTTAGTACCAACAAAACGTACAGATGTTGGTCTACCTAATAATATATTTCAAGATGAACAAGAATTAATCGATGAACAACATGAAATGGATTGTTCAATAAAAACATTATCACATAAACAAGAAGTAGCTCAAGTATATGAATGGATTTATGAACATTGTTCATCATTTCGTTCTGCATGTTATATAATAACAAGTATTTGGTCAGTTGGATTTTTACTTGAATTTCTTGGTCGACTTACTTTAATTCTTATTCGTTTAACAGTTAATAAGATTGTTATTTATGGACATTTAGTATTAACTTCAGCAACAATTATATGTATTATATTGACAATTATATGTATAACTAAAGAAAGAAAACAAACATTAAGATTTATTGAACAATGGAAAAAAAATCATCTGAATTTTCAACAACAATGTGAATAATTGAAATATATATGGAATTTAAATATTGTATGTACAAGGATATAATAATATTTGTGTTTTATACTGATATACCAATAAAAATTTCGTAAAAATAAATGTTTATATATAATTCATAAAGAACTATTTACTTCGATATTTATCACAATATAATATAGTTTATTTCAAATAGTACATCTTAATTAAAACAGATAAAACAATAAACAACAAAAAAAAACTTTAAAATAAATAGTATTACAGTTTTTTTTATTCTTCACCAAATCTACTTATCGATTTATCAGGTTTATATCCATCATGTAAACGTAGTAGTAGAAGAACGATGAGAATAGAAAGATAGAAAAAATAGAAAACTACTTAGAATTCATTTGGATTGACGGCGAATGGATCGTAGAATGGATCTACTACTTCCAGTTGAATACCAATCGCATCACCAGAACCACCACTACTCTTCTTCTTCTTCATATAAAAGTAAACTCCAAGACCGATGATGGCAAGTAATACAGGAATACCGATGCCCAAAGACAAACCAAGAATTAATGCCCAATTTGGTCCATCTTCAATGATACACAAAAACAATTCAACATTCAATTAAATTATTAATTACTCATATTTACCTGGGGGAGTAGTTCCTGGATCTGCAGTTGTTGTTGTTGG